TGACTTACCATAATTTATTTTATGTAAGTTATGTTTTATAAATTACATTAATATTTCAATTACGTGGGTTTTTTTTCTGAACTCTACTTGTTTAAAATGAAACCCGTGGATATATTTGTTTAAATTTTAAAGAATATTTGACTATGACCTTATAAATAATTATGTTTTGTAAGTACCACCACGGGAGTCCCATGCCTTGGGGGACTTAAATAACCATTGGCCTCTGTTTTGCCACTTTGTGGTCTTCTTTTTGTCATGGATCCATTGACCTCTGTTCTGACTGTCACTTTTGTGACCTCTATTTTGTACCGTGGTTATGGTTATTTATTTATATAATTTTTGTATTTCAGTTTCTGTCACTTAAATGATTTATTCACCAAATTGAGTTATGTAAATGTTTTGGCCTAACTAACCATTCATGGTTATTTTGTATTCCCTATGCTCTTGGCATAATATTTCTCACTCTGTTTTGTGCTTATAGCTGTTACCCTTTCAGGTGATGAGATGTAAGGAAGACCCATAACCTCGTGTAGTGGAACCTGTACAAGAAATTGATGCAGATCGGTTAAATTATTTTTCTTTCCTTTTCTTCCTGTCTTTTTTTTTGATGGTCGGTCGCTGCATAATAAAATAATAAAAGCCTATGGATGTAATTTTTTTTTAAATAGTAGAATGAAGTAATTTCCTTTTTAATTATTTTTATTTCTGCTTGCGCAGTTTAATTTGCTACGAATAAAATAAATTAGTAAGTTGCGATTCCAACCCTAAGCCCCTGGGGTTGGGTCGTGACAAATTATATTTTGTTGTTCTTTTTACTATGCTTATTGGTTAAACAATCATTTCTGCTACCACTAAACAATCGAAATAATTGATTTTCACTTTTTTCGATTTTATTTTATATTTTCACATTGCGATGTGAATGTTCACATTGGTATGAGTTTATTTTTTTTAAACTATTTGTATATTAATTATAAATTGTGAACATTCACATTGTATTTTTGTATAAATTTTATTTTTTTGAAAATTAATTATATATTTGTTGTTGTTTTTATTATACTTGTTAATTGAACAATCATTTTTATTACTATTGAACAATTGAAACAGTCGATTTTCACCATTTTTTCCAATTTTATTTTATGTTTTCACGTTGTATGTAGTGTAAATGTTTACATTTGTATGAGTTATTTTTTTTTTAAGGCTAGTTGTATGCTAATTATAAATTGTGAACATTTACATTTTATTTTAGTATGAATTTTATTTTTTTAAAGGTTAGTTGTATGTTTGTTGTTTATTGTAAATATTCACATTGAACTTTAGTATGTGTTTTGTTTTTTCAAAATTAGTTGTATGTTTGTTGTTTACTATGAACATTCACATTGTATTTTGATTTTCATTCAGATTTTTTGTTGTGTTATTTTTAAATTTTAAAATTATAAAAATGTTCAAAATTCATAATTTGAGATTTTCTCTATGAAATAAGGGTGGGATTTTCCCCTAAAAAAAATGAAAGATTTTCTCTATAGAATAAGGGAAAGATTTTCTCTTTATTATGAGTGAGAGATTTTCCCCATAAATTAAGGGATTATTATTATGTATTAGTTTCCAAAAAGAATCATGTGTAAAAAATTAAAAATGATGATTTGATCATATTATATTAAACAAGACTTAATGAAATTAAAAAAGAATATGGATTAGATAAAATAAAACATTTAGAAAGAGGATTTATCAAAAAATAATCCATTTTTTTAATGATTTAATAATTTAATAACTGTGAATGAATTAGGACAAAGGTGTGGATAGAGAGTTTCGAGAACAATAAATTTCTAATCTTTTTTAAAAAACAAAAATAAAAATTTAAGGACATAATACGTGACATACATGAATGAAGTATATATAGGTCTCGTTTAACAATTACATGTTTTAATCAAAAAATTACTATAAGTTGTCAAATCACTTTCTCTACTTTTTTACATATTTTTTCGTCAAAAACTAAAAAGTTACTGAAATAACTTATTACCAAACGAAGCCTTATTATGTATCATATATCTATGAATACTTCACTAAAAGATAATAAGATAGAATACAATACGATTAATTTTTATATAATTTAAGGAGGGATTAATATTTATCTTTATTAAGAAAATATTTGAAAATTTTCAAAAATATCATTCTTAAGTTTATTCATAATGGCGTGTGATTTGATTTTTTGACTTTTCGGTTATTTTAGTCTGGGGCTAAAAAGTCTCATTTGGGATAGACTTTTTAACTTTTATAAAAGAAAAAATGAAATAATTATGATTTGAATATGACATTTTGTGTTATTAACTTTTTAACTCATTTTATTTTTTGTTGACTAAAATAGCTAAAAGTCAACCTTTTTGACATACCAAACGAAGGTTATGTATTAATTGTTGATTGGTTAGAAGTAAAATAACCAACTAAGACTTAGGGTTGGTTTGACATGCTATAAAAAAGACAAAAAATCAAAAAGTTATCAAAAAAATAAAAAAGTTATCACTATTTATAAATTAAAAATATACAAAAAATAATTTACACAAAAAAGTACAATCCAACTTTACACAGGTGATGGTACTGAAGTGACGAAGAAAATTACGCAGGTGCACTGTGATGGTATAAATTACAAATTAGATATATATATTTATTAAGTTAAAGGGTACTGTTGGGCCCATGAGACACCACCATGGGTCCCATTTCAATAATTCGAACCATTCAATGTGTAAAACTCGTTGAGTACTATATGCCTATAAAAAATCACGTTGATCGGATATGAATAGCTATGTGATCAAATCAAATTTTTGTCAGCTGTTTATTCTTTACCGTCATTTTTTCATACAAAACTGTTTTGGTCAGACAGCTATCGATATTTGATCAACATGATTTTTTACAAGCATATAATACTCGACGAATTCTACATATTGAACGGTTCTGATTATCAAAACGGGAAGCCATGGTGGGCTCCCACGAACCAAATAACACCGTCTAGTTCGATCTTGGACCGTCTAGTCCAATCGGATATGGATAGCCATGGTGATTAAATCAGATTTTTGTCAGTTGTTTATTTTTTACTGTCATTTTTTCATACAAAACTGTTTTGATCAGACAGCTATCGATATTTGATCAACATGATTTTTTACAAGCATATAATACTCGACGAGTTCTACATATTGAACGGTTCTGATTATCAAAACGGGAAGCCATGGTGGGCTCCCACGAACCAAATAACACCGTCTAGTCTGATCTTGGACTGTAGGCAATCTGCTCCTATACTTGTTTCCTGCCCACCACCTGGCTTCCTGGACAATCCAAGTTAGTAGGCAATTCATTATAGTAGGGGTAAAATGATAATTTTACTATTTTATATAATATTTTAATACACATTTTTTCGTAAAAAATTAAAAAATTATTCTAAACAATCATGCTTTTTCTCTCTATTTTTTAGTTTAAAAAATTAAAAAGTACACTTATTTGAGACATTCCAAACAACCCCTTAACTCCTTCCACGAAATGTGAGCAATTTTAAAAATAATGTTTTAAGAATTTTTATTATTATTATTATTATAAAAATGGAAAATATAACATTTTCTTTTTATTTTGAGCATTAATTAATTTTATCACAATATTTTAGTATGATTAAAACGACCAGCCTCATACTTTTTTTTTATATATATATAATTACATTAATCTTTCAAAATCTTTTAATTATTAATTAATTTTATCACAATCTTTTAATTAACACAAAATATAATATTTTCTTTTAGTATGATTAAAATTAATGTGAATGATAGTTAAACAATAAAAAAAATATAAAAAAAATACATTTTAATAAGAAAAAATGATAATATTATTTTTTTATTCACATAAAATAAAAAATAAAAATAAAACTTAGCTGTTATGATAAAATAATATTTGAGAGAAGTTAGTTTAATTCTGATAAAAGTCAGAGATTAATTTATTTTCTTTAAAAAGGAGGTGAGTGTAATTTACCTTACGACAAATTATATAATCTTCATAAACTATCAATCATTTACATTTTATCTTCTAATGTTTTAAACCTAACTATTACTTCTCAAATTATTTGACTTTGAACATAGTCTTTCTGTTGATTATTTATTAGATATTTAGATGAAAATTTATCAAGTGTTTTGCGCATGATGATTATATTAAATTTTATGACTAAATTATCTTATTTTATTTTTTTATAAAAATTTAATATAATCAGCCTATGTATAGTGCTTAATAATTTTTATTCAAATATTTAATCAATGACTAATGGAAGTATATAATGTTTAAATTCAAATAGTTTGAAGGGAGAGTTTTTTTTTTTAATATTCTAAAAAAAAAAAACAATTTATAGAATTGACCCACTTTTCAAATTAGTTGGGAAACTCCAACTAACCTGTTTTTTAAAATTATATTTTGAAAATACAATTTTAAATTTGAAATTACATTTTTAACTTGTAATTTTACATTGAAATCGCATGTTGAAAATACAATTTCAAAAAGTAAAGTCTATGTTGAAAATACAATTTCAATTTAAAATTGTATTTTTAAAATGTGATTTTAAAAAGTAAGTTAATTTCTTAAATAATTTAAAAAGTAAATTGACCCACTTTTCAAATTAGTTGGGAAACTCCAACTAACCTGTTTTTTAAAATCATATTTTGAAAATACAATTTTAAAATTGAAATTACATTTTTAACCTGTAATTTCACCTTGAAATCGCATGTTGAAAATACAATTTCAAAAAGTAAAGTCTATGTTGAAAATACAATTTCAATTTAAAATTGTATTTTTAAAATGTGATTTTAAAAAGTACCCCCTTTGCCACGTGGCGGGTGGTGATTGGAGGAGTAGGAAAAAAAAGAAAAAGAAAAAGAAAATGTAACCAATGAGAGAGAGAGGGGTCAAAGGGGTGGGAAGAAAAGGGGATGAATGATTGTTAATATAATTTACCCTTAATATAAAGATTTCACTATCTCATCTTCCTCGCCGAGGAAGGGTTTTGGGGGACTTTGGGTTTTGCCTTCCTCGTTCAACCCCAATCACTGGTTTTGCCTCTCTCTCTCTCTGCGAGAAGAATTGAAAATGGTTTTATCGAACAAAAAGCTGAAACAGAAGCTGAGAGTTGGTTTGGCCGAATCGTTAACAGCATCAGAGGCTAACAACGATTCTACAAAACCAGACCCGAACTCGCAGATTCAAGACTCTTTCAAGTCCCTCCTCGACTCTGCAGCCCAGAAACCCAGGTTATCCAAGCGAGAAAAGCGTAGAAAAACTCTATCTTTGCACGGTCCAGAGGATGTGAACGCAAGTGGTAGTGGCGATTTAGAGAAAGAGATTGAGGAAGCTGGGTCAGCAGGCGTGAATGAGAAGAAGAAGAAGAGAAAGAGGAAGGTAGATGAGGATCTGGAGGGAAGTGGTAGTGGTGATTTGGAGAAAGAGAGTGAGGAAGGTGGGTTTGAGGTTGTGAATGATAAGAAGAAGAGGACGAAGAAGAAGAAGAGGAAGAGAGATGAGGGATTGGAGAGTGGCGGTTTAGAGATGGTAGAGGCGAAGAAGTCGAAGAAAAAGAAAAAGAAAAAGAAGAAGAAGGGGAAGAAGGTGGAGAGTGAGCAAGTAAAGGAGGGTGAGGAGAGTGCAAATGGAGAGAGTGAACAAGGTGTGATAGAGACAATTAAGGCCAATGATAGGTATATTTTTCTATTTTTTTCTTTCTTTACTATAAAGTTAGCTACATTTCAAAATTGGGTGTTTTTGGTTTATGTCATTATATGCTTGTGAGTTGGTTGGTTGGGTTCATTTTGTGATATGTTAGTTTTGGTGAATTAATTTGGTTCAGTTTCTGTCACTCTGCTCTGAGTTTTGTGTATGAACAGAGTTGATTGTTTGTGTGTGTTGGAGGGTTTTGGAATGCTTGAAAAGTGGATGCTTGTCATGGAAATCTTATAAGCCTCCTCGAGTTCTTGAGTAGTTAGCATAGTTGTTTTTTCTGAAATCTATGCTTTCCAGATTTAGCTTATTTGTTTGATACCAATATGAATGAGTTTATGCTGTTCATTCTATTTATTTATTTTGTGTAGTATAAGTTTGGTTGCTGAGAAATTTGGAAGAAAAAGGGGAAAAAGAAAGAGAGAAATAAAAACTCTATAATTTAGAATTAGAAGTCAAAACCAAAGCTACTATCCTGATCCTCCCTTTATCCTTTCCTTTCATATGTTTTTAAATGCATCACAGCTTTTCTTTGGAGGAATATTTTCTGTTAAAACCCATTGATATTGCCATATCAAAATAATACATCGTCTTTAAAATATAATATATTTTTGGGAGGGAAACAAAAAGGGAAAAAGCCTCCTTGACCGTAGGATGTAAGGCAGAAGACAATTTCAGCCATCTAATGATAATTTGTCTAGAGGACATTTTTAACCATTAGATTGAATTGATCCTGACCATTTAATTTTAAGGTGACATGTGGGACAAAATTCAGAAACAGTTGTGTTTTGTTATATATATATATATGTTATTTTCAAGGAAGAAGATGCCTTATTTTGTAATGGAAATGATGTTGAATTTTAAGCTTTCATTGATTTCATGATTGGGTTTTATTCTTACAGTCAAGAAACTGCGGAAGTTGTTACAAAAGTTTATGTGGGAGGAATTCCATATTACTCAACTGAGGATGATATTCGGAGTTATTTTGAAAGTTGTGGCACCATAACTGAAGTTGATTGTATGAAATTTCCTGAGAGTGGGAAATTCAGAGGAATTGCCATTATCAATTTCAAGGTAGGTACTTTCATAGATAGTTTATGCATTTTACTGTGCTTGTTTTTGTTATTTTCATCCATGATTCGCATAAGCAATGTTGGTTAACACACTTAACAGCCTCTTCTAAGTGCAGATTGGTGCTTTGGAAGTCAAATTAATTTAGAGTTTGTACTCGAAAATGTGTGTGTGCATGTATTTTTGTTTGTGGATGAATTTGAAGTTTACTCTCTAATCTCTAACTCTATACATTTGAATGTTATGGGTGGGTGGGTGTGTATCCATGTGCTTTTTTTTTTTTTTCTTTCTATATTTATTTTTACTATTTTGGGCGGAGGGGAGTCGTTTGGTGAAGAGTTATGAGTCATGACCAATATTACAAATTTGACATTAAAATCTGGGAAGATAACCTATTCTTAAAATTCCATAGCAATATGGAAAAGTGTGGAAATAATGCAAACCTTTGCTGAGATACATCAACGCTGATTCTCAGGAAGATGATTGTTGTCATTAGATAGAAGGGATTGCAAGAGTTGTCTACTGTAGCAAGTTTGGTGCTCATCACACATCTCATTGATCTTCAATCTTACTGTATATGTTGGCTGCTGCTTTCGAGTGTGAAAGTGAAGCAAGTGTTGTATTATTTCCTTAACCATGTTGCTCCCCATGGTTCCCATTTCAAATTGTTTCTCCTTCACTTGGAGAGGTATTTTTTAAGTTGTTAACTGAGTCATTCTTTATTTTATGATGCTTTCCAATCTTATGTACTAATCTTGTCATAATAACTAACTGTGGTGAAAGAATAGCCTGCCTTTAAAAATCGTAGTAGATAGTTCGAGGGTGAAAGACAGATACCATTGGATGATGTAGAATATGGTAAATGACAGCAAATAGTGTGGTTGGTTTTAGATGAGTGACAATGGTAATATACTTAGAGGCCAATAAGCAATAGTTAAGGTCGGGCTTGGATGGCTTGATATATCAAGTACATAAGACTCTCTATTCTCCCATACGTACTTTTTTTCTGTACTTAATTTAACTTTTTTCCTTGGGTAGAGAGAGAGAGATCCATGGCTATACAAGTTCAAGCGGTCTTATTCTAAAACTTATGGGGGAACTTATATTGTCAGTGGTTTGTTCATGCTAGCACAAAAAAAGTATCCCAATTATTAGAGTAGCTAAGTATAAATAAGTGCGACCTGTGTGACCATAATCAAAGTTCTCTGAATTCGGTTTCGAGTGGAAAGAAACATCTGGTGATTATAACCCAAATTGGAAGCTTTATCTCCCTAGAGCCCAAAAAGACTGTTGATTGAGGTCAATAATTGACGCTGGAAATACTCTCTAAACCTATTCTGTCTTTAAGGTTCTGTAACTCACCCCAACATAAAACTGTGGAAGGTTTATCCTTCTCTTGGCTTCTAATATATCCCTGGCCGTGTAAGTGCTTAAGAACTGAAGTAGTACTTGACATTCAAGCCTCACTTAACTTCTCGAAGCACTTTGAACCAATCGTCTAGGTCCTCCTCCTGTGGAGCCTGACCTACTCTGCTATGCTTGGCAACCTTGGTAATCGCCCTTTTCATAACATCTTGAACCACATCAAAACAGTGGTCTAGGTCCTTTCTGCTGTGGCACCCTTAGCTACGCTGCTAAATGTTTGACAAACTCAGTATTCATGCTTCGCATACTGTAAGCACATCAAAGCAGTGTTCTAGTTCCTTTCTTTTGCCAAATGCTTGGCTACACTTGGCCAGTAGGCCACTTGGCAAAGGAGTGTTCTTAAGGTTATCTTTTAAACTGTACTATTGTTAATTTGATTGGGTTACTCCCTAAATCAATGTTAATTGTCTCTTCATTCTCCAAGCTCCAACAAAGATTATTCTTCAATTTTTATCTCAATGAAATAAACTCTTGTGCTTGGCCTATGTTACATGAACTTTGGTGCTGATGTGTTAAGTGTCAGATTCATCTAGTTCTCATGTTGAGGACACCTAGACATGGCTATATTTTATATTTCATAAATGCTTTCAAAATATTTTTAGGGTAAAATGATTTATAATGACTGAAATATGGCGTTTTATGCATAGTTATATATTAAACTTGACAATTTTTCTTATATTTGTTGGGTGCATCTCCAACTAGGCGTATTGGATACGTCTCATATCTTTGTCCAATTGTCTGACGTGTACTTCACAACCTTAGAAGAGTCCATGTAACGTAGGCCTTGGCCATAAGGGTGATGGAAATTCTAGAGTTGTGTTGCTACAAAGGTCTTGTGTACTTGGAAATAAGATCCGATTGAAAGATTGGTGGCAAAGAGATAGGCATATTCTGTGGACAAATTTGTTGGTAATCTTTGTTGTTACAGTTGCTGACATGATGAGTACCAGTGGAAAGCAAGAGCACAATTCCAATTTTGGTTCACCTTCATTTTTAGTTCTGCTCAAACCTCGGCCCTCCTCCTCCCCCTTCCCCCTCCCCAACCAGCAGCAGCAGCAGCCTTCTTTTGGTCGAGGTCTAAGCCAAACTGAAATTCTAAATTTCTTCAAAATGTTAGAACTCCTTGCAGAGGCCATATCATATTGGCTCGAAGTTTAGAATTGGTTGGATATAGGAGAGGAAGGGAGGGAGATCTGTAAAGATGCATTCGAGTTTTGAAATTTTAACAGTTGCATTGAACATGTATTAAACTGAATGTAGTTGAGATGAAAATGTTTAGATAGATTTTGGTAAGATTAGGAAAGGCAGAACTAAAAATTAATATATTCTTAAATTGGTGGTAGTAGCACTAATTGAAGATTAGTTGAGAGAGAATAGATTAAGATGGTTTGGTCATGTACAACGAATACCTATGGATGGAAAGAAGAGAGATATAATTACCATAAATGTAAATGTTAGGGGCAGAGGAGGAAGACTTAAACTGAGATGCGATGTAGTTATAAAAAAATATGAGAAAATTTTATTTAGTTTAACTGAACATATAGCCCTTTATAGAGCATAATGGCAAAAAAAATTCATGTAGCCAATCCCACTTGATTGGGAGACAGAATAAGTTTGGTTTGGTTATTAAACATATATTTTTTGTTGACTGGAGTTCTTATAGGTTTGATTGTGATTCTGTATTCTTTTTGCAGACTGAAGCTGCCGCTAAACGAGCCTTAGCCCTTGATGGATCTGACATGTGAGTAACATATAAACTACATGTTATTACTCATAATCCTATTTTTCCTCTGTAATGCTGATGGAACCTTTGTTTTGTGCAGGGGTGGACTGTTCCTGAAAATCCAGCCCTACAAGTCGACTAGACCTAAAACAGTGTCATCTGATTTTGCCCCTGCAATCATGGAAGGCTACAATAGGATCTACGTCGGAAACTTATCGTGGGATATAACCGAGGATGAACTGAGGAAACTTTTCTCTGATTGCAGTATTTCCACTATTCGATTTGGCGAAGACAAGGAAACAAAGGAGTTTCGAGGTTATGCCCATGTAGATTTCACTGATAGTGTCTCAGTAAACATGGCGTTGAAACTGGATCAAAAGATCGTTTGTGGGAGACCTGTGAGAATAAGATGTGCGGTTCCAAAGAAAGTAGTAAGAGAGCCTTTGGAAGCAGCGGTTCCAAAGAAAGTAGTAAAAGAGTCTTTGGAAGCAGTGGTTCCAAAGAAAGTAGTAACAGAGAGCGATTCGAAATCTTTGCTGATAAGTAAGGAAGCTGATAATGGTGATGCGAGCGCTGTCAGTGGAAAGATTAGGAGAAGAACTTGCTACGAGTGTGGTGAAAAAGGCCATCTTTCATCATTGTGCCCTAACAAACAAGCTGACGATCTAAAGAAAGTAGTAACAGAGAGCAATTCGAAATCTTTGCTGACAAGTAAGGAAACTGATAATGGTGATGCAAGCGCTGTCAGTGGAAAGATTAGGAGAAGAACTTGCTATGAGTGTGGTGAAAAAGGCCATCTTTCATCATCGTGCCCTAACAAACAAGCTGATGATCTAACGAATAGCGGTGCAATGTAATCACATTGGAAATGTATTAACTTGTTTCTTTGTTGTTTATTATATGAAAAATGCATAAATTTCAAAAGAAAATAACTTTTAACATTGTTCTGGGGGACTTGGTTGTTTTTTAGCTATTTCTGGTAGAGCCAAACTGCCTTGTTGCATCAACAGTTTTGACATTCTATGGATTTTTTGACCATTTTAATCTTTTTCCTCTGAAGTTTCTTGCAAAAGAAAATTTGTAGATTCTGATTATAGATTGCATGCTTTGATCCAGGAAGTGTCTGTATCTCAGGCTCTACATATTTTTCACAAAATGTTGAACACCCAGGTGATTTCACGTGCTGTTTGGATCATTGTTAATATTGAAGGATAAGCATTGTTCTGGTGGTATCATTTGCTCCATTTTTCAGGTCGGCACTGCTAATTGATCAATGTTAATGTTATGTTTGGATCTTTAGATTTATCAAGAAAAGGAGTTAAATGAAACTTATAAAATTAAATTTTTTTTTTTCACTTTATCTTCTTATCCTTTATTTTTATATTTTTGGAATAAATTATGTCGATCTCGAAAAACTTACAGTTAACTCTATGATTTGTCTTCCCATACTGTTAAATTCACATTACATTTAATCATCCATGGATGTCCGTTATTCATTAAGCAATTAGATTGAACAAATAACTTTGTATTAAAATGTTTATTTTGTCCTTAGTTAATTGAATGTACCCCCAAAAGAACAGGTCACTCTATTTGCACTCTAAAAATTAAGTTGGGCATTTTAATTTAAGAAAGTTTCTATTTTCACATATCAAATTTTTTTTTTGTGCACACTTAATGAATAAAAAATTTATTATATTTTTATCACCAAACAAAATTACTAATATAGACATTATTACACAATTTACATTAGAATATGAGTTTTTTCAGTACACAACTTATTATTCTGAAGTTCATAAGTTCCTTCACAAAACATCTGACAGAAGGTTCTTTTTTGATTTTCTTATTAAATTTTAATCAAGTTTTATATATATGTATGTATTTATATGTTATGTGTACTCCTTCTCATGGATTTGGAGATTATTGAGCCAATGATAATTGGTCGGTGTACGGGAAAGAAATAAACTTTCTCGTATAATCCTGTTGACCAAGTCTACTTTCCTCTGTACGTCGTCGTTTTATCACCTGAAAACACAAACGTAAGCTAGCCGGCGGGTGTGTGCCGGAAACCTCTCCAATGCCTAAGTCAGTCAACTTGACAAATAGACAAAAGCTCTGAGTATTCAGAAAGCAAAGTTGTGTGTTATGTTTGTGAGCTTTTATAGGTTTCGTGTGGCACAATCCTAGTAGGACTTTTACTCCTCCATGCAGAGTCTTCCCAGGATTCGTACTCTTGAAAGATAATGCTTATCCTTCAACACCCCCTCTTAAACCAAGTGAGATGGTTTTTACCATGGCCAAACTACAACATGACCGAAATAATACTCACTATGCCGAGCCACAGAGTAAGCCGAACTATTCTTAGTTCGGTTCTTCCTTTTACTCCTCCTTATCTCGGTTCTCTCATGTACAACCCATGGTCTGTTTAGACCGAGCTTCCAAGTAGCAAGGTTCTGACAGTTCCCACCACAATGCGCCTTGACCGGGCTAACACTAGACCGGAATAACTACAAGTCGCTTCCGGACCGGAGTAACGTTGCATTTCTCTCGGGCCGAAGTAATTTTGTACCTCTCTTGGGCCGAAGTAACTTTACGGTCTTTTTACCCAGCCCTTCGTACTATGGGTCATAATGACCATCTCCTAGCTCGGTCCAATTTTCACAAAAATTACCCTCTCAGTCGGGTCAAAGGCCTGATTCAGCCAAACATTAGTTGTTGATTGTGTGGTTTTTGTTGAGCTCAATTAGTTTATAGTTTTCAAGAATTGTTTCCTTGGTCTGGTATGAGCAATATGAGTTTTGTTTGTAATGATCTCTATACTTATACATATATTTGCATAACTAAAAAGAAAAAAGAAAAAAAAAGCAACAAAGGAAGATAAAAATATAAAAAAATCTTATTCACAAGGTACATAATCGAATTAAAAATTTGGTTTAGAATTTGAACTTTGAGAGAGGATATATTGTTCGGTACTAGATTTCTAATTAGGAGTCTTAGTTCAATAACAAATTTATGAATCATAGTGTGTTCGGAGAACTAATATTGAATGATTTGAAAAATTGATCCTCCTTTATTCAGTCAACCACAAATCGACGTGTTTGATTGTCAATTAGATGCGCAGATGTCAAAGCTTTGAATGCTTTTTATGGAGAATAAGATTGAAGAATTGAAGGTTTTGAACAAAACTCCTCTTATTAGTGTTGAGTGTGTGTAGTTTGGTGTGTATATCTTGGGTAGGGTATAATGCAAACAATTGTATGTGGATTGAGAGAAATAAAATATTTCAAATTTATTAAGTGTCTACCTTAAAAGATGATGTGTATAGAGAGGAAATGATGCGTGGAAATAAAATTATCCAAATTTATTAATTTTTTTATTATCATTAAGTCCCTATTTAAAATGACCAAAAAGTATCTGACATTAGAAAAAGTGTAAATCAAAGTGTTTTGATTATCCCATTCATCATCAATCCCAATAATTATTTTCTCTCTCTTCTCTTCTTACTCTCGTCGCTTTGCATCTTCATACATAAGGCTTTGTTTGGGAAGTGGGTTGGCTTTTTGATTTTTTTGACTATTTTAGCCTGGGCTAAAAAGCTTGGTTTGGGAAGGATTTTTTGACTTTTTGGACTTTTTTTGTGAGAGAAGAGTGTAATGATTATGGATTGGATGTGATGTTTTGTTTGTTGTGCCTAAAATAGTCTATTTTTTGTGGCTAAAATAGCCACAAACCATCTTCCCAAACGGTGACGATAGCCACAAACTATTTTGTCAATTTGCTTGAATCTATCATTCTTACATTCTATTTCATATTGAAATCAAGATAGACAATAAAGAATATGTTTTCAAGCAATTTTCTATAAATAAAGTAGGTTTTTATTTGATATTTCTCATTTTTTGTTGTTTGGTTTACGGAATTGATTCTAAAATTCAGTGTTGAACAAATTACGTTTATTTAGAAACTTGTTTCCAAACAAAATTCATATAATTCGGCATCGAGTATCTAGATGAAAAGGTTGGAGCAAATTTTTTATTTTTCGAAACTGAGTATCCGAATAAATTTCATAGGTTCAAAATTAAGTATCTAGACATATGTAATTTGTTCGACACTGAGTATTCAAATGAAAATGTTGTGACTAATTTTCTATTGTTCGGAACTGAGTATCTGAACATATTTAATTTGTTCCGCATTGATTATCCGAAAAAATTTCATAGGTTTGAAATTAAGTTTTTGGACATATATAATTTGTTCGACATAGAGTGCCCAAATGAAAAAAGTTAATAGAATTGGAGTGTCGAAAGTAGAATTTCTAAGATTTTTTATTTTTATTTTTAGGGTTATAATAGGAATTATTTGGGATGTCCAAATAAATATATAAATAAATATTTAAATTTTCAATTTGGTTATTCCAACTAATGGGGTATCCAAACTAATTTTTGAGATGCATTTAGAATTACCCAAAAGAACCCTTTTGGTAAAAATGGAAAGACAAATTATCCTCTCAATTTTAAGCATATATTTTGTCCCCCATCTCTCTTATTGAACCGTTGACACCCTCCTAACTGTCACCTCTTCAAGTCGTGAGATGGAGTGGAGATGGAGGTAGAATCGTGTCCTTGGAGTGATAGAGATGCCTCTCTCAGTTGTGGGGTAAGGTAGAGATGAAGGAGGTAGAGCGATGGCCTTGGTATAAGGGAGATGGAAGTGGGTGACGGAGTCCAAAACACGCTAGCAGATGTGGCAGAGTTGGGCAGCGGCAACAGGGATGACGGATTTTAATACAGATCTTACTTGGTTTAAAACAGATCTAGTTTTTCAAACCACATCTATAAAAAGAACAGTGATTAACTGGTTTAAAAAAAAAATAGATGAGAAGTGTAGGCAAGTTTCTTCTAAAAAAATAAAAAAATGTTTTGTTTAATTAAATAAGTGATTGTTTCGTAAAATAAAAGCGTAAAATCTCTGAAGACGATTTTATTTTTAATATTGTGATAAATTTCACTGTATACTTTTGATTATTTTAACAATATAGATATCTGGTAGGTCTCACATATGGATCCCATACATGTGGGTCTTACATGTGTGAGGCCTATTTGTTAAATATTTATATTTGACCTTTGTGTGCATAAGTTTATTGAAATGTAAAAATTCAAAAAGACTCACAAAATTTCCTATCTAACAAAAAAAAAAAATTTTTTTAGCAATTATCAAGCATCTTATTTTTTTTAAAAAAATTATAGTAATTAAAAAAATTAAAAAAACAATTGTCAAATTCATTTTACAAGCAAGAGCTTCTAAATACAATTATTCAATATTTAAAATATATATTAGATTGATGTTACATATTTTTTTAAAAAATATTTAATAAATTATTTTAAATTTATAATACATAAATAAAATTCATTCTATGTACGAAATACAAAACTTTAAAGAGTTGGCCTAATAGACATAATTTGAGCCGGGAGGTGTGACCTAAGCTCTTTAGGGCCAATCCAAAAATTTGATTTAAATAGAATTTGTACATTCAAATTTCAAAAAAAAAAAAAAATCCTTAATATTTTTTTCTTCTAATTACCTCATACTTTTATTTTATTACAAATCAATGCTCCTCTCCCAGTTGAACCCAAAAATAGCCCCACGCATTTGTTTCCCTTGGCTTCAAATATATAAACATTGCATGCTTTGAAAACCAAAAACACACACACCAAATGACCAAACCAAGTCATCTCCTCCTCGGCAACCCACCATCTCCATCTTCATCTGCGTACCCTTCTCACAAATACCATCCCCATTCTCTTCCTCTTCCATTCAAGTTTTGATATCTCTCTCTTCTCTCACATACTATCCCTTTCTTGGTTTCTCTTCTTCAGGTTTAGTTCAATCAATCAACTGGGTTTTTGAGTTTCAATGGGACCCATTAGAGGGCTCAAGAGGAAGAGGAAGATTGAAAAAGAAGTTGACCAAAATGCTGCCCTTTCTTCTCTGCCGTACCAACCCGAGTCCTTGGATTGGTGGGACCACTTCTCCAAGCGGATTACTGGTACATAGAGTTTACAAATCTCATTTTTTGCTTTTCTTTTATGAGTTTTCTTGATATGGGTTGTCAAGCTTTTTGTTTGATTGTGCTCTGGTCTTTCTGGGTATTCTTGAATTGGTGTTTGTGAGGCTATTTAGTTAGGTTTTCTTTGCACTTGGCAAAATTTTGGGACATGGGTTGTTGTTGTATCCTTGGTTTGAATATGCTGATTTTGTTCATATAATGCACTTGGGTATCTTCCAATTTTTATTTTTTATTTTTTTTGGGGGGTTACATTCCAGTTTTCTTTTGTTTAATTGTAATTTTTTTTTTTTAATTTTGAAAAGCTATGTGTTCACAAATATCTAAAGGTCTGTTTGGCTGCTACGAAAACAATGGTGAAGGAAATTAATATATGAAGAAATGTATTTTGTATTTTTTTGATTAGATAAAAGAAATATATTTGTGTTTTACCACTTCTCCAAGAGGTTTACTGGTACATAGACATTACAAATCTCATTCTTTACTTTTCTTTTATTTGCTTTCTTGATTTGGATTGTTGAGCTTTTTGGTTATTGTGCTCAATGTTAACTAACCTTTCTGGGTATTCTTGAATTGGTGTTTATGATTCTATTAGTTAGGTTTTCTTTGTATTTGGCAAAATTTTGGGACATGGGTTATTGTATCCTTGATTTGAATATGCTGATTTCGCACATATAATGCACTTGGGTATTTTCCATTTTTTATTGTTTTTGTTACAAGCCGGTTTTCTTTAGTTTGTTTGTATTTTCTATTTTTATTTAGAGCATTGCTACATACACCGAAGTTGGATTTGTCCGAATTATCCGAATTTGTACATGCCGGTCGTCTAGTCGGTGATCCCAGCGGTCGTCCAGCCGATAGGATGCCGGTTACACCGGTAGACAAAGGTAACAGTCGCAGTTGACAAGGGTGACAGTTGCGGTTGAAAAGGGTGACGCCGGTCGTCCGGCTCGGCGGAGCTCAAATTTGGTGGATCAATCATTTTTGTTTTATTTATTTATTTTTAAGGGTTATATGTTCAGAAGTATAAAATGGTTTGTTTGGCTGCTAAGAAAATAATGATGAAATTATTTGTTTTTTGTTTTATTTTATTTTATATATTTTTTTTTGTTAGATAAAAGAAATATATTTGTGTTTTTACCTTCAGGAAATTCATTGTGTAAGCAAAATAGGCAAGGAAAAGTCCAACTTAAAGTTCTTCATTGGCGTATACATGATAGCATAGAATTGTAAACTGTTTATGAAAGAGTTTAATCATTTTGTCGAAATTGGTGTTTACGACAGCAAAATATGTAACCTTAAAAATTGTCTGATGGGACATCTGTAGCAATTTCACAATTGGAGATCCTCATAAACTCACTAGGTGTGATGACACAATAAGTTGAATTTAATGCCTTAAAATCCAACAGAAATTTTCAATGTTAGTTTTATCCCATTCATTAGCAAGTTTGGGTTTTAGTTACCAGTCACCACTAGAGTCTGACACCATAGGAGTTCTATATCCAGTTTCAACAGATAACCAAACACATTCATCAATAGATCTCAAGAATGCGTTCATGCATGCTTTCAAATAAGATGGTGGTTTGGTGGTCAAAGTATAGTATTTGGGAACAAGATGGTGGAGGTTGAAAAAAATAAAGAACTTTCCCCTAATATGTTCGATCTTTAATGTCTCTAATTTGTGCTCTAACATTAATTTTGATGATATCTTCTTTAGCTTGTAATTTATTTATTTTTTATGGATGATCTATTCATTATTGAACTTAAATACTTTTGGCATTTGTGAAGTAATGATTTATGATTGATGAAATAGTATTTTGCTAGTGGATGATATTTATAGATTGGTAGATTGGGTACAAACCTAACCTTGGTTTTATTTGCACAAGGTGGTTGCCCTCAAATTCGAACCCACAATCTCAAGATTGACATGCCATCACTTAAAATTTTAAATGTCATAAAAATAAGTTTTTAAGTTGCAGACTTCTTAATTCTTAATTAATGTTGAATGTTGAGTTTTTAACCTTTTTTGATTTTGCCATCGATGAGTTGTACCATCATCACCCCACTCCAACATTATCGCCGCTACCGCAACCACCACCACCACCATCACTCAACTATCTCCACCATCACTACCACCCCTCCATCTCCACTACCACTATTGGCACAACTACCCACCATATCACCACCAACACAACTATCACTACTGTCACCGTCACCACTATTGCACCAACACTACCATCACCACTACACTACCACAACACCAACACCACTATTGTCACTCCACTACAACCACCAACGACACCCCACCCCTCTACCTTTATCATAACTTTGCCACTATTACCACCACCACCCACCACCACTGTAGCCACCATCACTCCACTATCACCACCACCATCTTCGCCAACTCTATCCAACCTCACAACCACCACAACTGCCATGCCACTACAACAACCACCGTCACACTATCTTACCACCACATTGCCATTGTCATTGTTGTCGCTGCTTGCAAGATAAGGTATTTTCCATAACCTAAGATGTTCTAGGTCTCATTTTTAGTTCCTAATAACAAATATGCAAAAGGGTTGTCATAGGAACTTCAATTCTAGGATTTTTGATGTTTTGATTATTCACAACTTCTCCCGAAAATGAAATTTTAGAAGTTCACTACTTGATTCACTCTACTCCCATAGCAGACAATAAATACTCAATGGCTATGTATGTCCTAAAGTAATGAAATATGCTCATATAATTTTCTCTGAGATTGGTTTGAAGCACACATTGCATTGTCTTTGGATGTCTTCAATGTTTAGCACTTGGACACTAATACCTGCACACCAAACCTGGACACCTAGCACACATTTTGTCTACAGAAATTGCCAACACACTAAATCCTAAATCCTCTAGCAATGTTAACTAAGGAGGTAATTAAGTGCATGACTGGTAAAGCTGCAAATGGTGGTGATGGTGTTACTAGTTATATGTGTTGTTCAAGAGGTGGTTTTGGTGTCTATCTATGGTGGTTGTGGCGAGGGTACCTTAGGGCTTGTTGAACTGTGCAGAAATTAGTAGGATTATCGCATGTGATTCTTGTTATGCTTGTGGGCTTCAGTTATTTTCTTTGTTGCTATTGTGGTTGGAATAATTTGATCTCTCAGTTTCATTAACATGATTTCATATTTTATTTGTTTTATTAGTAGTGTGTTAAAAAGGGGGATAGTGTGTGGTGTAGTGATCCTAAGTCATTATATGGGAAAAACATGTTCAGGATTTTTATGTTGACTTAAAAACATGTGTAGTGATCCTAAGTCATTATATGGGAAACATGTTCAGTTATTTTAATGTTGTTTTAGGATTTTTAGCACTTCACCAGAATGCATTTTCCCCTTTTTTGTGGTTTTATACTTGACATTGTACAAAATTGCCGCATTTTTTGTGCTTCTATCAACCTGCTGTTTAAAATGCTTTTTCCTTGTAGACATGTATCACTCAAATGATGGTTAGGGTAGTTATACAAGGAAAGTAATGTTTTTCTCTTGAAAGCAATAACTTTTTGCTTTTACTAAAAAAGATTCTTGTTTTGGATTCTGTGAAAATATACATTTGATAATTATTGCTGAGCAAGATATAGTGGTATTGACAGTTACGGCCAAGCCTTTTATGACCCATCTGTGTTCCTTTCACTTGATGAGGAAGGAGATTGAGAAGGATGTTACCCATAGACTTAATAGCTTCGTTGTTAAATGTTCTTGTACTATGAGGTTGATGCATTTATAGTATATATACAGAAAAGAAACTTAGTAGGCAATAAGACAACTAAAGAGTGGGTTGTTGAAAAAGGATGTATGTGTCTATGATGCATGGATGTGTACAGGGTACAAGGGCCTCAATATTGACATCCCCATATGACAAAATCTGAACCGAATCAAACTAAGTCTTGTGTCCCAATCATAAAATTTAGGGTAAATTACAAATATAGTCTCTGAGATTTGCTTAAAATACAGATTACTCGCAGTAGTTTAAAAAATTACAAATACATCATTATTAGTATTTTTTATTTAACATAATTAACTAAAAATATGAAATTCATAATTGGTCTCCTGTACAAAATAAAATTACCTGAATTATTAATTAAAACATATTTCTAATATCATTAAAAACTATTAATTAATTTGATGATTTATTAATAAAATTGGTGATTTGTTATGAAATTAGAAATCTCAGGAGGTGGAATGTAATTTCCAAAACCACAGGAGGTGATTCGTATTTTAATCAAACCTTAAGGGGTGTATTTGTAATTTATCCTAAAATTTAATGTTTTACGTATGCATCCAAACAACATAAGATTATTGAGTGTTCTGAGTTCCCAAGTAGGTAATATTAGAGTTCATGTGAGCAAGCAGAGGTGATTTTACGTGAACATGGATCCAAAACTTATATTCAACACCTCAATATTATCTCAATTTTAGAAAGAATTGATCCATGAGTTTGAGAGTGTTATATGTTTTTCCTTATGATTAATTCTAGGTGTGAAAGAATGCCTCTCTAGGCATGCCTGGAGGAATATCTGAATAGAATCAAATGCATGTTAGGAATTAAAAAAAGTTTCCAACATATGGATATGAGTGTATTAAATGTGTCTGGGTATATCACTGAAGCATCAGGAACTAATGCATGCCGACTCCTTACTAGAAGTGTTTGTACTAACTAGGTTGATATAATCAAATTGAAACAATGAACATCCTAATAGAAGGAGAAAGAAGAGAAACATTTGGAATAGCATAATTGATTATTTCCAACTAATGTGATGAAATGAATGTATTGAGATCATTCAGGCATGCACATGAAAGACCAATAACAACATGAAAAACTTAGTTATGCGAATTTAAAAATCCGGAGAAGGTGTTGGGATAGTCAAAGAAGATGCAAATAGAATTAGCAAGGAGTTTGAAGTGTTGAAATAATGCCTTATGAGAAAGACAATTTTTTAAAATTCCTGTCTACTTTATCATGAATCTTACAATTGTGAGGTGTTTATAGTGTTGTATAGTGTAATAATATGACTAAGGTAGTTTTTGGCACAAGACAAAGGTCTATTGTGAAATTTGAAAATAATGAGACTTCTTTTGGCTTGTAATGGGAGACTCGAAGCTTAGTCTATATCCTGTTAACCAAAGAGTTTCACAATTGAGGATGGGTAAAATTTTCATCCGTATGGCTACTGCATGCTTGTTTATCACATCATAAGCTGATAGCTTCTCAATCATTCCAGATAATAATTTAATGTGGTGTTGAAATGCATACAAATCTGTAGGCACACAAATGCAGTGTTTATTTTTGAGCTTGTGAAGCTTTTTGAGTTTCTTCATGCACACATAACATAGTTTCAGGTAGTTTTGTTTATTTATATTCCCTTGTCTACTTTCTCAGTGTACTCCGTCCCTCACTTTGGTTTATCTTCTGCTTCATTTGGTACAATCTTCCATTAGTCAAAGGCTTGTTCCAACATGCATTGATAGAGTAGGTCCTAATCTCAAATTTACACACTGCTTCATTTTAAGACGAGAGTTATAAGTATATGAAGACTTACATTGGTTGCTGTTATTGCTTACCAGTGATGCCATTGGGAAAAAATTAAAAAAAATCTTGCTGTGTGTATGTTGCCAAATTGAAAGTTTATGGATACCCAAAAACCAGTCATATCATTGTACACTGACTACATCAGTTGAGATCTTATAACCAGAAATCTCGATCTGGTGATTTATAAGTATATCAATCAATCAAATGGTTTACAATTGGTATTTTTCCAGAAAAATACTATTTGTATCTCTCTTTTGATGTCTCAAATATATTTGGCACACTTTTTGTCTTCTCCATGGGCCATTTTATTTGTAGAGTTGCATATGAAATGTAGCCCCTCTTCCCACTGAATTTAGATGCAATATGTTATAGTGGCTCCTAAAATTATTATAAATTTTGGTTGATAGTTTGATCAAGCAAATACTGACTGAGTTTTTACCCAAATAAAAGGGTTTGGTCTCATAATCTCATTAGGAGAAGAGATCCTCTTTCCACTCAAAGTCCCATTCCTCACTTAGGGACCTCTGTCTGACCCTTACCAAATCATATACATCTGTAATGGGAGATGAGTATTTCTCTCTGTTGTATAATATATGAAGGTTCTAAGTTCTGCTTCCTGATACACACTATTTGATCCTTATGTTATTCATTTTTGTCTTCTTTCCATAAGCTAACATGTGCAGATTATACTTGGTATGTAAAGTTCTAATTTCTTAAAAAACTAGAATTATGGTTTTGTCCTTTTTTTTTTTTTTATCATTGGGCATATGTTAATGCTTCAACTAGTTTTAAATTCGAAGATAGCCTGGTTGTATAAAGGTTTTGCTTGCCATTAATTAATGACATCCTTTTTGAAGCAAACATATAATAGGAAGGGATTTTTTTTACAACAATTTTTTCGATTTAGTTTTCACTAATACCAAGTAGAGCCTTGAACTTCATTAAGCATAATATGATCTTGGGGAAATCATTCCTTTTTGTTTTGCCTTATAAATAGTCAAAGGACACAAAAAGAGGTAAATATTTGAGTAGGCATATTCGGACAGCTTGGGCATAAAAATGCTGTTGAAATTATCTGAATACTTGTAGCACTATTTGAGCATGTGATTTATTATGTTTGGGCATATTTCTAACCTCTGTCTTGACTGTAAGATGTACTTCACACCACCATTTGGGGGCAATTTTGTCTGTTTTGCGGAAATGTCCATGGGGGCTTCTATTTCCAAACTCCACACCATTTTTTCTTCAGAAATCAACTTCCGAACCAAAGGTACGAACCACAGGTTTTTTTATTCAGAAGTTGATTTCTGAACCATAAGTTTTTGTTTGGAATTTGATTTCTGAACCAAAAAAAATTTGTATTGAGAGAAAGTGATGTGTGGAAATAGAAGCTTCCATTGTTCATTCCTTTCGCTTTGGTAGTACCTCTAAATTTGGGAGAGGCAGAGATTGAGCAGTAGCATTAATATTTGTTTTCCACCAGGAATTTTGATTGGAAAATTCTCAAATAATTCTTGTGATGAATGATTATTTATTTCCTTATTATTTGTGCTTTTCAGGGCCTTCATCGCAATTAAAGGATCTACCTAAATTTGAATCTGTTTTGAAGATTTCAAGAAAGACATTTAACTACATCTGTTCACTTGTGAAGGAAGAGATGATGGCTAGGCCTGCAAACTTCACAGATCTCAATGGCAAACTTTTGTCTCTGAACGATCGAGTCGCTATCGCTTTAAGAAGGCTGAGCTCTGGTGAATCTTTATCAGCTGTTGGCGATTTGCTCGGGATAAACCAATCAACCGTTGCCCAAATAACTTGGCGTTTTGTGGAAGCCATGGAAGCAAGAGGGCTCCACCACCTCCGGTGGCCCTCCACAGAAGCTGAGATGAAAGAGATAAAGAGTAAATTTGAAAAATTCCGAGGCCTACGCCTACCCAATTGTTGCGGTGCCATTGACACCACACACATTATGATGTGCCTGTCATCAATTGATCGGTCAAATAACATCTGGTGTGATAAGGAGAAGAATCACAGCATGATCCTCCAGGCAATTGTGGACCCTGATATGAGATTCCTCGACATTGTCACTGGATGGCCAGGAAGTTTGAGTGACTCACTCGTTCTCAAAAGCTCGACCTTCTTCAAACTATCCGAAGAAGGGAAGAGGCTAAATGGGGAAAAAGTGAAAATCTCAGAAGGAACAGAATTAAGGGAATTTATCGTTGGGGACCTAGGGTTTCCTCTGTTGCCGTGGCTTCTAACTCCGTATCAAGGTCATAGCCTCACTGATTCTCAAGCCAACTTCAACAAACAGCTTTCTGCAACTCGAATGGTGGCACAAAGAGCATTGGCAAGGTTGAAGGAGACGTGGAGGATCATACAAGGTGTTATGTGGAGGCCTGATAAGAATAGATTGCCGAGAATTATTCTTGTTTGTTGTTTGCTGCACAATATAGTCATTGATTTGGAGGATGAGGTGCGAGATGAGATGTCTTTATCTCATCGTCATGATTCAGCTTATCGGCAGCAAGTTTGTGAATCTGGTGACGATTCTGCCTCTATTCTAAGAGACAAGCTTTCTCTCTACTTATTCGGTAGACTGCCATCGATTGATTCGTCGACTTAACATAGTCCTATTTGTTGAATTGGAAGCTAGTTGAAGACAATTGGGTAGTTTGTTTAGGGTTAGCACAACAATTCATGATCTTGTGACATGAACTCACATTTTTTTTTTCTTTTCTTTTTGTGATTTATTTGAAAGCAACTTTAAATATTGTGGCTTGTAGTTGCTAACTTTTTCAGTTCCATTTTGGTTACTGCAGATCACAAGGGATAATTTCAGGCCACAATGTAAATCTTTGTGCCATTTTCTTATGTCTCAAATCAGCTTTCCATTATTGTTATGTATTTATTTACAGGCAAGTACAAGGTCTAATATTTGGTAACACCCTCGCTGCCTTAGTGTACGAGGCTCTCGTCAATGTAGGATTTGAAAATGATCAAATGCCTGCCTTACCTGACATGCATAGAGATTGTTTGTGTTTTTATTGCTATGCCAAGGCTCACCCTTTGTATGGATGTCTTAGGAATGATAATTCGTTCCATTATATCTCAATCTAATGAATCAAATAGGACGTAATAATTTACAATTATTTATCTATACAGTATACTCCATGTTCTGAATGTTACCAATCTATTAGAGCCACATGTGACCATTTGAGTTTGCGACCACTAAAAATGAGAAAACTACAATTGTTTTGAGAAAATAATTATAAAGAAAATAATGTGATTAAAAATGGATTAAAAGTTAGAAGATGACTTTTAACCATCTTTTCGAAATAAGTGCCCAAGGGACGCCATGCGTTTTTAGGGGTGAGAATGGTCCGAATTTGTTTGCATTAAGGTAAAACCAAAACTAATCCGTTATTTATAGTTCTTGAAAAATTGGAACCAATTCAATCCGTTTAAATTATAGAACCAATTCGAACCAATCCTTTTAAATGCGAATTGGATCAGTTTAAGACCACGGATTCACATAATTAAGTAATGAAAAATATATATAACATTTTAATTTCATAAAAATATAAACATAGCATCATTTAGTTCCACAATAGCAATATGTCTTTGCACAATAGCGACATACTATTTTAAAATTTAAACAACTATAAGAAAATTAGTTTCACCATAAATATTTAGACCATTATAAATTAAAAATAAAAACCAACAAACAAAAGTAATAAAAGAAGATACTATGCGGATTTAGGTTTAGGTTTAGGTTTAGGTTTAGGTTTTATATGGAAAATGATAAGATATTATTGTATAATATAAATATAGGCTATTTATATACTGTTCCAATCGGTTTTAATCTGGAACCGTGAGGTTTAATTCGAAATCAATTCGTGTACTGCGGATTTTTAATTTTTTAATCCGAAACCGAACTACGGATTTAAAAAATCAATTCAAACCAACCGAATCAAATTACAAATTTTATGAATTTCTTATCCAGCCTTACACGTTGTTGTCATCAAGCACACAAATTATCATATCCCTATTATTCTCTTATTACTAGCAAAAATTATTGAGCCCATTTATTGACCACATTCGATTTAGAATATCATGCGATCCTGTTTGCAACGTTAAATTTCTTATAAAAATAATGAATGAGTTACTTATCAAACTCATGCAGTTTTAAATAAATTTATTTTATAACAAGTTAATTAAAATTATAATTTGAAGATAAGACTCTTCATTTAAAAAAGAGATTTTTATTGATAAATCCATTCTATAGTTGTTATAATTTCCTGGAACTCCACTCTTAGAGAATGGATTTACTAAAAAAGCTCTCATTAAAAAATAAGTTCAAAATCACTCGAATTTGGTAAATTTGTTTTAAAAAAAACACATGAAATTATCATGGAAAAAAACTCAGAGTATAAATTGTTCTTTTTTTTTTCTTTTCTTTTTTTTTTAAATTTCCGATGTACCCAAATATATATATATATATATATATCTTTTTTTTAAAAAAAACGAAAAAAAAAAAACTAGTTTTGGCATTCAAAGGGATTAAAAAGGCCGACGGATTGAAAGGACAAAAAAAATCTGCTAAAATTCTAGGGTTAGGGTTTATTGAGGGGTTTTGGTGTTTGGAGAGTTGGAGAGAGTTTGAAAGGTATGAACACGAACAAGTTCGATGCAAAGAAGCTCCTCAAGGACAAGAAATTCTGGTTCGCCTCTTTCCTCATTGCTTGGGCCGCTGCTCTTCAGGTTAATCCTTTACACATGACAATAATTTGAATTCTGTGAACTTTTTGCTAATGATTTCGTTCTTCGTGTTTGAAATGCTGTGATTTTGCAGGGGCACATGATGTGGTTACAGAGGCAGGACAAGTTCAAGCAGAAATTCGGAACCCTAGAAGAAAGCAACGACCAAAAGGAACTCATAAAGGATTAGCATTGGTGTTTAACAGTTCAAAAAATGTTGTGAGATCTTTTACATTGCTTTTTCAAGTGTTCAATCCTCTGTTTTTTTGATATTTTAGGTTAGATATGGAATACTTGTGAAAATTTGTTTGTAATCTTTTTTGCTTGGAATGAAAATCAATGTTTTATCTCAATTTTTGTTTCTTTAATTGGATTGAATGATAACAATTCAAGATTGTTGTGTGTAATGTATATGTACAAGTGTAGTTGTAGTACTATAGATCTGTACTAGGAAATGGAGAAGTTTGCATCCCATAACAATTGAATATGGTGAACAGTTTGAGAAGATATTTGTAAAACTTTCTTCTCAATTTATGCTTGTATGGCTTGCTTATGAGAAATACTATTGAGTTAATCTGATTAATCTACTTGAGCTTTAGAACTCGAGGATACATGAAAAGGAAGCGGAAAATATCCTAACCGTAGAATGGTGGCTAGCATGTTTGAATCCATGAAATATGGCACAGGAAAATGATCGCGATAAAAAAAACAATGTGGTACATATAGATGCTTTCTGTTATATTTGATTGGGAAAAGGCTTTGTTGAGCTGAGTATAAACTATAGTATGGATGCTTTTTTGCTATGAAAATTGAACTGCACAAATTTTTGAAGGACTGCAAAGATTTTTGATGTTTTTTCTCAAATCGAAACTAGAAAAACAAAATTGTCAAAGATAACGATATTTAACAACAACAAAAAGAAGGCTTAAATATTATTGAGCTGGCCCTAAATTGCTTACATAGACCGCAAATAAGTAAAGAAATCTGAATTTTAACATTATATTAAAGTGCTGATCCCTTGGTGCATTTCCTACATTTTGATGCTTCTTTCTAGCATCTTGAATGGTAACACGACTACGTCATTATTTGAAAGTCCATCAATGCATTAAATGACTTTTGAATCAGTGGTATCAGATTCAACAGTTGAGAACCAGCAAATTGGACTAGTGGTTCGAACTTTGTTTGACAAAACCAGTCATTTATGTTTTCTAGAAAGTTTTAGTCAATTGCTTGGTAGATCGATGATTTTAACTCTCCATCTGTAAACCTTGTGTTATAGGAACTCTTATATTTTCTCCAGTGTACTTGTGCCCACGAGATAGTATTGGAGTCCGACACCTGGATCTAATTTAAACACTTGGATTCTTCTATTTTATATGATGTTGGAAGAGGAAGAAGACAATCACATTTTTTTAGTGAAGAAACATTTTCAACTCCTCACACGAATGAGAGATATATATTTCATATTTCTAAATAATTTATAATATCTTATCTAAGAATATCATACAAGATGCAATGCGTGTAAATGTTTAAAACATGCCCCCATATTTGTGCCCTAATTTGGATGCATTCCTAATATTCTAAGATTTAGATTTAGGAAGATCTGACGCTTAGACATGCATTGGCATCTGATACTTCTATCTTAGTTCATGTAATAGTCTTGTCCTTTTTTTTAAAAAAAAAAAGAAAGAAAAGAAAAAAAGAAAAAATAAAAAGAAGAAGAGAAGTAAGTATTGAATTGTGCTTTTGTTTACAAGTCAAATTGATATTTTTTATTACTTTGATTTTTTATCCTATCCTAATGACTATGCTTTTAACCACTTCAAGTGCATTTGTTTAGGTGTTTTGGTAACACTGTCTATATAATCATTTGTAGAATTTGGATTGATGTTTGAGTTTCTTTGCTTGTCTGCTAGGTTTGTCCTCCACTCGCTCTCTCTCCACTGATTATCACTAGGAGAGTGTAATTTTGGTATCTTCTTGTTCATTAGAGCATTAGTATGTTCCAGTCCTTTACTCATATGGCTTGGTAGCAAAACTAGATGTGTGAATCTACTAGGATGTCATTAACTTAGGGAAGTTGGAGCTTCGATAATTGCTTTGTGTTAGTGACATGAAGCTTATGCTAGGATGATCCATTCTTAATTAAATACTAAATGTGCCTGATGTTTACCCTGGTTATATTTCCCCTTGAAAAAATCCCCTTTTTGTTTGGGAAATAATTAAGCAATGTTTGTGATTGAGAATTGTTAAAATTCACCTACTACACACCTACCACTACCACCTACTACACACTCACCTACTTCACCTACTCTCCACCTACTCCTCACCTACTCTCCACCTACTCCTCACCTACTCCTCACCTACTACACACTCACCCTCTTCTATATATAGGAATCATGAATCATTGTAATATATATCATCATCAACAAATATCAATCAATAATACAATTCTCTTTATACATTGAATTTCAACATGGTATCAGAGCAGGTTTAGAACCTAATATTTTTCGCTTCACCGGCGGGCGGCAACCTCACCTTAGCCGTCCGCCGGACCTCCACCTATTCTGCTTATTTTCTACACATACCTTTCCATCACTGCCTAAATCTTCTCTCCTTCACCACCGCTGCTTCCTAGTTGATGAATCTGTTGCTCCATCTGAACGGAAGGGCAGCTCTCTGGTTTCGGATTCCGGTTCAAGCTCGTACTGCCGGAGAGTTTCTTTCTCTCAGATTCCGGTTCAAGCCGCTTCGCATTTCTGGGCACCAAAGCGATTTTCCGGCCATCTAGAGAGAGGATTTCCGGCGCTAGGGTTTTGAAAAAAGAAAAAAAAAAAAAAAACAAAACAAAACAAATGGGTTTGACAGAAACAGGATTGGTAAGTATGGAGAGAACAAGCAGAATATTTAAGGAAAAAAAAATAAAAAATAAAAAATAAAACTAAACCCAATTAAAATAAAATCCTTGAAAGCAAAATCAACAGTCAGATAAAGAGAATGATGAGTAAAATAATGGAATTGGAAGAGGATCTGAGCTGTAAAATCACAAATTAAAAAAAAATCAAAAATCAAAGAAAGCTCATATATATTGAATATTCTTTGCTTGAGTGACCTTTATTTATATATTTGAGTGATGTTTTGGGAAGTTGGTAAAAACAAACTTTTAATTTTTTGGCTTTTTTAATGGTTTTTTTGACAAAATAATTGAGTTGTTTTGGGTTAAAAAATTGACTTTTTTACTAAAAAAAGTTAAAAAATCAAAAAACTGACTTTTTTTTGACAACTTCTCAAAAAAAACCCCATGGTCAATAGTTTATTAACCTGTTGTTGAGTGTGCCCTAGAGCATACTGTAGTTGCCATTCATTGAGTTTAGAGAGAGAGAGAGAGAGAGAGAGAGAGAGGAGATACAGAGGAAGGAGGAGGAGAATTTTGTGGCCTGTTTTGGGTAAGTGATATTCGGTGGGGGAAGACTTTGTGGAACAAAAAACAAGAATCCATGAAGACTTTGTGGAACAAAATTATGAGATTGCTACGGAAAGTTAAAAAGATACACTTCCGAATGAAAATAATTTCGCTGTGTAATATTAAAAGGAAAGTGTTTGAGGCCATAATTTTTGTGGTCATAATAGTTTAAAATTGTCAAAACGACGTCGTTGTTTTGGGTGCAAAATATGTCAAAACGACGTCGTTTTGACAATTTTGAGCCATTGTGACCACAAAAATTGTCACCCTCTAACATTATTGATATTAAAATTCAATTATCATGGAGAGGAATTTGAATTTTTTATGGTGTTTGTTTCTCCTCCACTAAGCTTGGTAGTTGGGTTTGCGCTTAAACTTGATGATTGTTGACTTTTTATTTGTTGTCGGGCTACTGATATATGAGTTTGATGATTGTTGATTTCTTAGTTATTATTAAAAAATTTAAGAAGAATAAATGATTTTTTTATTTTTTTTTTAAATTCCCATGGAGACACTGTTTTTCATGATTAACTCGAAGAAAATTGCGACGTTACTACCAAAAGAAGTAAGAAAACAATGTTTGGTCTATGAACATATAATTGAGGGGTGGGTAGGAATACAAAAAATAAAAATAAATCAAAAGAATCTTGTGGTGGTAGTTCACTAGAAAATTTCTTCACACAAAAGTCAACATTTTCTTGTATAGTGGATGTTTGGGAAGTGGCTATTTTAGAAGTTTTTTGACTATTTTAATAGGTTATTTTAGTTTTTGTGTTTGAGAAGATAGGATGGATTTTAATTGTGTTTGAGAAGATATGATAGATTTTTATTTGAGTTGTTATATTAAAAAATGTGTTTAAAATGATGTTTGAAATTAAAATGACAAATTTACTCCTAAACTCACTTTTTCCAAAATTGGTCTACAAGGACAAAATTGCCATTTTTGCCTATGAGAGTAGGCTGGCAAAACACTGTGCCTACACTGTCATTGGCTGCCGATTGCTTTGTTTGTTGTGTTTTTTTTTTTAAAAAAAAATCAATGGCTTCGTTTGGGAAGTTGCTATTTTAGCAGGCTATTTTAGTTTTTGACTATTTTAGTAGGCTAAAATTTTTGTGTTTAGGAAGATGATTGAATTTTTTTTATGGTTGGATGTGATGTTTATGAGAGAAAAAGTGAAATGATTATGGATTTGATGTGATATTTTGTCTTATTAGCTATTTTAGCCTATTTTGTTTTTTTGACAACAACTGTCACAACATTGTCTTCTACAACGGTCCGACATGACCCCATAAACTGTCTTCTACATCGGTCTGACACCGCCATCCAGTGTCCTCTACACCGTTATGACACCCCTATACAGTGTCCTCTACAACGTTATGACACCACCATCCAGTGTCTTCACCAATGGTCTGACACGACCATACAGTGTCACCTATCCTCTTTTATTTTTATGTATTTTCTTGTTTTGTAACTCTCTCCAAACTCAAGTTGGTTAGTTCCTATCCCCTTGAGTTTGCGGGGCTGTTAAAATTCACCTACTACACACCTACCACTACCACCTACTACACACTCATCTACTTCACCTACTCTCCACCTACTCCTCACCTACTCCTCACCTACTACACACTCACCCTCTTCTATATATAGGAATCATGAATCATTGTAATATATATCATCATCAACAAATATCAATCAATAATACAATTCTCTTTATACATTGAATTTCAACAAGAATTGAATTGAATCAAACCACCT